CGCACTTCTTCATCCACTATAAAGATAAGCTAAATTTCAAGCTAACCGACTCCTCCCCCATTTACGTGAATAATCTCTCTTTATAATTTCATTCCCACCCCATAAAATCATTTTTATACTCTTACTTTTGTCAGGACCCTTCCTGATCGTCTCTTCCTCCTCATGTGATTTTCAGCCTGAATTGGCCTTGGACTTAATCTTATACCATATGTCCCTTTAATCTCATCAAAAGAGAGTCAGCTTCCACCCGAAGCCTCCTTGAGATATCTCTTTAACCCAAGCTCCTGGATCAACCATTATTATTTTATCTTCAACCTTAACATTTTATTCCGATAGTCTCGCTCCTATTTATTTCCTTAGCCCTTCTCCTTAAACTGGGATCACCCTGCTCCATTTTGGACCCCCCTCTCCCAAGCCGTAAGGGTCTTCCCCTGGCCCTCCCCCGAAAACCCTAACCCGCTCGCCCATTAACCACCTTGCACGAATACCTTTCGCTATACTCATTAATGAGGCCTCCTGAATAATCTACTTTCCCACATACACCCTAATTTCGGCTTCTGGGGCCCTCTGCGTCACATCCACCCAGACATATTTTTTTACTCACCTTATTAACGCAAATTACAGCCCTCTCCTTAAAACCATCTCAACTATAAACCTTTATTCTCTAAGAGGCCTACCACCTTTTCAGATTTTATTCCTAAATGAATCATTACCCATGAAATTATTCTATCACCCCTCTACTTACTTTTGTCTATTCTTCTTCTTTCCTCTCTAGCCCCTCTTTACTTTTCTTCTGAATTACTTTACCCCTTACCACAATTCCCCTTACCTAGATAAAATGAAGTATTTCCCCTAAACCCCTTAAAATCTTATCATCTCCCTTATACCCCTCAATCAGTTTATTCGGACTTTAACCCCGCCTATACTTTTAGTTATCTAAGATTTTAAGTTAATTTAAACTAACATCCTTCAAAGCTGTCAAAAAAAGTAATAACCTTTTAAATCTTAGCCTTCATTGATAAGAAAGTATAACTTCTATTTAGATTTACAATTAGGCGCCTTTAACCTCAACCATCTTATCCTACAAATCACACAAAATTAAAGAACCCTTCACAAACATGGTATTTAACGGAACACTATGTATTAACAGGACAAAATGGCCCCCCTTCCCGGGACAACAAGAAAATAAGATATTTTAAAATAACCCGTGCTACCTTAATGAATTCATGTATAAAGTGTAGCAAGCCCTGAAAAAAGCAACAGCCCAGCTCTAAATATAATTAATTTGGGCCCCTCTAGCCACTCTAATAATTAAACTAATCTCTCCTATTAAGTTTAAAGTCGGGGAAGCACCTATATTTCCTACAACTAATAAAACCGCCACAAACCTATATTTGGTGTAATATTTAGCAAACCTTTCCTAATTACCAAACTAGCCCCCCCCTAAACGCTCGTAAACTATATTTGCTAAACAAAATAAACCTGAAGAACATAAACTATGGCCTGCCATCACTACTACAGCTCTACTAAACCCCATCCCCCTATAACAACCGTCCCCCTTAACACTAAACCCGTATGGGCCGCAGAAGAATAACCAATTAAAGATTTTATACCCACTTGACACAAACACATTAAACTAATAGCTTCACCTCCTAGAACCCCAAGACTCACTCACACCCAACAGAATATTTTATTTACCCCTGAAATCACCCCCCAAAATTCAAATTAAACCTTAACCCTCTAACTTCAACAATACTCCAGCCGATACTTACAACCGGGGCCTCCACGTGAGCTTAGGCAACCATAAATGAAATATAAACAAAGGTAACTTAACCCTAAACGCTGGCGCAGAGCAAAAATACCACAATAACCTAGTTTCCCGGTAGCCAATTATTCCTGGTAATAATCCCATATTTAATCTCCCTTTACTCTTATACAACCTCAATAAAGAAGCTAATAAAGTATAGAACAGTATATAAACCCCAGCCTGAATTTGCTCAGATTGGCATCCTTAACCCAAAATTAATACAGGTATAGGAACCAATGACCTCTCAAATCTAATATAGAACATTAGATAATTTACTGGCCTTAAAGTTAAAATTAAAACTACTGACAAAATCAAATTCACTGACAAACCCCGCACAAAAATTACCCATTTTCTTTACTACAGTTCTCCTAAAAACTATTAATACTACAGCCTGAATCCTTAATACAATCAAAATATATCTTAAATAATCAACCCTTATTATATAACCTGGGCGAAAGAACAAAAATCATGATTTATTATTAACAACCCCATAAAGCATATTATCAGTAAACCAGCCTGGATGGACCCTCGGTTCCTCACAAACCCCATTTAAACCAAATTAAACACCAAAACCTTTAACATACTAAATGTTCCAAATCTCCCTAAAATAATCATTACCATGCGAACGGACAGTAGAGACCAAAAGAGATAAGCCCAAAGCCCCTTCACACGCAACCGCCACTAAAAATTATTACAAACTCACCCTCTGAACCAACCCTGAGTGTGTGAACAACTCTTATAACCTCAAACACATTAAATACAATAAATTCCGACCTTAATAAAACATCCAACAAATGCTTATAATTCGAAACAAACGCTCAGAACTCGCAAAAAACTATAATTAGCAACCTGAAGCCCTCAACACCCAGTACCGCCGTACACCCTTACCCCCTCTTAAATTACTTTAATTTTTATTCCCCCGAAACTTATAGCTCCCCCCTTACATAAATCCAATCCATTACTTAAACTCGCTAATCCTACGCCTGTAAATATGCCGATTCCTGCCAACATTTCAACTTTTTGAAATTTCAGGTCCCTCTTAGAGCTATGTTTAGTGACTCAAATCGCAATCGAGCTATTTTTATCAATTCATTTACCCCACATATTGCCTTGGCTTTTCGAACGTAGGACACATCTGTCGCGACGCTGGTTACGGGCGATTGTTTCACACCATTCATGCAAATGGGGATCCTATTCTCTACCTACACCTACTCTCATATAAGACGAGATATTTATTATGGATCATTAGCCCTCTCTCACGCCTGGAGAATGGAGTCCCGATTCTGTTTTTAGCAATAGCCACAGCCTTTCTAGGTTATGCCCTACCCTGAGGGGTGAGTATCGTTTTGAGGTGTCTCCGTTATTACAAGCTTACTTCCTACCATTCCCTCTATATTAGGACAGATTTGACCCGGTGAATTTGAGATGAGTTCACAATCGATAACGCCACCTCAACTCGATTTTTTACATTCCGCTTTCTTCTGCCGTTTCTAATTACTATGGCTGCACTTGCCCGAATTTTACCCGTCCACCACTCTGGAGTAACCTCTCCCCTAGACAAAATTCCCTGCCACCCCTACTTTTCATTCAAAGATATTATAAAGTTCCCAGTAACACTTATACTCCCTGCCCCCTGACTCTCTTAAACCCCTAGTTACTTAGAAACCCTGATAATTTTACCCTGACTGACCCCTTAGTCACACAGTGTGTATTCAACCTGAATAATATCTTCCATTTGCATTCGCCATTCTTCGACCCGCCCCAAACAAACTAGGAGGACCTATCGCTTTAGTACTATCAGTTGCGACTCTTTGGGCACTCCCATGGGCCCCTCCCCCTCTATCAAAACCCCAAGATCTTATCTTTTACTCTTTAAACCGGGCCCTATTTTGAGCCCTTACCCCCGCAATCATTTTATTGACGTGGATCGAGGTTCGATCTGCAGAAGATTATTATATTTTCTCAGGCCAAGCTCTTACTATCATTACTTTCTTATTATGCTACCGACCCTTTGGCTACCCTTTTAATGGGCCTTCTTCTGAAATGGCTACTTAATTTATTTAAAATAAATGGTTTGAAAACATCTAAAAGAAGATTTTCCAGTGCCCGCCAACATACAAATTTAGTTTACACTAAAATTAATTTTACCTCGAAGAAAAAAAATTAAAAATTTTAAAGATAAAGGAAGAAACCTTTTCAAACCATACACATCAATTTATCGTACCATAATCGCAGCAAAGTTCTCCACTCTTAAATAAACGTAAACCAGACCATCACCAATTTTATTTAAAATCCTAACCTTAAAACTTACCCCCCCCTCTTAAAAACAACAATGTTGACACCCCCTTGTAAACAAAATTCTAATATATTCAGCTATAAAAATTAACACGGGCCCTACTCCCCTGCGCTCAGAATTAAACCCAAACCCAGCTCAAACTTCCCTCCTGCAAAATCAAAAGGAGCACGGCTTATCTCTGCCAAACAAGAACCAAGTCAAACTACAGATAATGGAAATGTTAATCAAATGAGTCGCATCCTTTCCTTAATAATTCTATGGACCTAAAGTCTCCCGACTAACCGCATAAGGTAACAAAATTAAAGCAATAAATAGACTGAATACCGGCGATAAATAATAAGGTAAAAATTTAGATACTATCAGTGAATTCTGCTCTTTTACAAACAATTTGTCAACATCCGAAAGGGGTTGAAGTGGCCCTAGAATGTCCGATTTATTAGGGCCCTTACGAATCTAAATTCAACCTAAAATCTTACGCCCCAAGAGAGTTATAAACGCTACTCCGACTAAAACACAAGCTATCAACACTAAATATCTCACAATTCTAATAACTACAGCACTGTCCCCAGTACTTTACCTATAGAGTGCCTTCTATACAATTAAATTCTAAATTTAACGCTTATCCTCTGTCAAAATAAATTTAACCCTAGGCACGCCTTCCGGAACCCCTACTATGTTACGACTCATCCCACCTTGAGGGGAAGCCACAGGCGATATGTGTGTACATACTTTAGTTCTCATGCCGCACTAACTTACTAAATTACGTGTTACAATTAAATCCCCCTTCACAGAAACTATTTTATTACTGATTCGCAATAAATAAATTTTATTGCAATACATTTCTTCTCACTCATAAACTGCACCTTGGTCTAATGCACTCTTCTTCTCAAATTTCAGTAACTACCTCAACAAAGGTTATCTGATAATAGCGGCATACAACCTACTAAACAAGAGTAAGAAAGATTTTTTCGTGTTGTATCATTTACAGAACAGGTTCCTCTAACAAGACTAAAATACCACCAAATTCTTTGAATTTAAAGCCCATATCTATTAACACCCAAGTTTTATTTTTATCTTCTAAGTATAACAGGGTGTCGTCTAATCCTAGTTTATATCTTAATCTCCGAGTTTACCCATTTATAATTCAGCTTCCGTTTATTCCTAATAAACCAATTTCACCTTTTATTACTATAAATTTCAATTTACCTTTAAACGTAAGAATAACCTAAACTAAAATACTTTTACTAAACTTTTAAGTCCAACCACAACTGCTAGCTCAAAATTTCACCAAACTTTTTATAATTTACTAAATCAGACTCTAATCCAATATTTAATCTCCCGTACTGGGAATAGCAAAACTATGACTGTGTTATAAATTATCTCTATTTTATTTACCCTTTACTCGCCAAGATACACATATACCCTAACTATAAAATAAAAGTTTAAGTAAGAATCAAACTTTGAGCTTACCTCGGCCTATTTAAGTAAACACCTTCTTCTAATCTAAGATTCAATCTTCTAAGAACACCTCAAATAACATAAATCTACAATTAACCTCCTGTAATCTTAACCTCCTTAATAGATATAATACCCGATAAAAGGACAGTTTTGGTAGAACTGCTAGTGTAGTTTTACTACTTATACTACAAGATTCTCTCTTAAGTTTTAGTAATTACACATCTTCAAATTTGCAATTTGACGTCTTTTCCACTATAAAGCCTAACGCAACGGTGATTTTTCACAACAAATCATAAAGACATTGGTACACTATACTTTGCATTCAGAGCCTGATCTAGTATAGTAGACACCTCCCTAAAACTAATTATTCGGGCCGAACTTGGTCGGCACGGGAGATTAGTTGGAGGAAACCAAATTTATAATGTAATTGTCACAGCCCACGCCTTCGTAATGATTTTCTCCCTAGTCATACCAATCGTAATTGGAGGGTCGAAAATTGATTAGTCCCCTTTATACTTGGAGCCCCTTTCAACCTTACCCCGAATGAATAATTCAAGATTCTGACTTTTACCAATTTCCCACACTCTTCTCCTTACAAGGGGAATAGTAGAAAGGGGGTTGGGACAGAATGAACAGTTTATCTCCCCCTAGCAGCATCAATAGCCGGGGGGTGTCAGTCGACCTTGGCATCTTCTCCCTTCGTTTGGCTGGAGTTTCCTTAATTCTTGGGACTGTAAATTTTATAACTACAGCAATCAATACACGAACCAGAGGAATACCCATAGACCGAGTATCTTTATCCCTGCGACCCGGTTTCATTACCGCAGTACTTCTGCTTGTATCTCTCCCCGTTCTAGCAGGAGCAACTACTATACTTCTTACAGATCAAAATTTAAACACTTCTTTCTTTGATCCTGTTGGCGAAGGGGACCTTGTTCTCTACCAGCTCTTATTCTAATTTTTTGAACACCCGGAAGTCTACATCTTGACTCTCCCAGCTCTCGATACAGTCTCACGCACCGTCACACAAGAATCAGGCAAAAAAGAAGCATTCGACACACTAGAAAAAATCTATATTATAGCAGCAATTGAAATTCTAGGGCCCCTCGTGGGAGCTCGCCATATATTCACTATAGATGTAGACACCCAAGCATATTTTCACCGGCAACCATAATTATTGCTATCCCTTCAAGAATTAAGATCTTTAGATGATTAAGAGCTCCCCAAGGCTCTCGATTCTCATGTACTCCTTCACTCCTGTGGGCCTAAGGTTTTATTTTCTTATTTACAGTAGGGAGCTTAACAGGAGTTATCTTAGCAAACTCCTCAATCGGCATTATTCTCCATGACACCTGTTACGTTGCAGTCCACTTCCGCTACGTCCTGTCTATAGGAGCTGTGTTTGAAATTTTCGGGGGTGTTGTTCGCTGACTCCCCTATTCACTGGGCTTTCTCTGAATTCTTCACGATTAAAACCTCACTTCTTTACTACATTTTAAGGGTAAACTTAGCCCTCTCCCCCCAACACTTCCTAGGATTAAACGATATACCACGGCGCATTCAGACTACCTAGATGCTACGCAGCATGAAAAATTGTCTCACCTATCGATCCTCTCATTTCATTAGTAGCTGGTTCTGGCTCATAATTATTGTTCAAGAGACTTTGATGTCAAAATGTAGTATTACTTCGCCGGTCTTCCTCCATTGAATGACAGCATCATTCCCACCTGCTGATCACAGGTACGCAGAAATTCTTCTAATTTCTAACTATCTAAAATGACAGACAGATGTATAGGATTTAAGCTCCTACTAGGAAGAAACTACCTTCTTTTAGAAATGCCGACATGAGGATATCTAGGACTCCAAGATAGTGCTTCTCCGCTTATAGAACAATTGACGTACTTCCACGATCACACAATATTTATTCTCATTCTCATCACTTCATTAGTAGCCTATATTTTAATTAATTCAGCACTAAACTCACTTATTAACCGATTTTTACTTGAAAACCAAGAAATTGAAATTGTCTGAACTATTTTACCTGCTATCATCTTAATCTTCATCGCTATACCTTCCCTACGGTTACTCTACTTATTGGATGAAACCAATAACTCGAGAGTCACAATTAAAACCATTGGGCACCAATGATACTGATCTTACGAATATTCGGATTTTCTAAGTGTCGAATTTGATTCCTACATGGCACCCTATAGTATCAACTCAAATTTACGACTTTTAGATGTTGATAACCGAATCCCCATCCCCTTAAATACTCAAATTCGTCTTATTATTTCAGCAGCCGACGTAATCCATTCCTGAACTATTCCTTCCTTAGGGGTAAAAGCCGACGCCATTCCAGGGCGACTTAATCAAATTAGATTTCTTGTAAATCGACCGGGTCTATTCTACGGCCAGTGTTCTGAAATTTGCGGGGCTAACCATAGGTTTATACCAATTTTAATTGAAAGGATTTCGGTAGACTCTTTCTTGAATTGAATTTCTAGAAATTCATAATTAACTTTCTCTCCAGATAGCTTATAAAGTTTAGGTCTTTAAAACCTAAAGTAGTTCTCCTACTTCTAGAGACTAAAATTAGTTAAAAGAATGCCAATAGTCTGTCAGATTAAAATTATTGTACTTATGATATTTTAGAATGCTTCAAATAGGGCCCCTTACTCTGACTCAATCTCTTTCTGATATTCGCTCTCGGAAGCATTTTATTCTTTATCATTAATTTCTCCTGTAAACTTCCAATTAAAACAGAAACTTCCGCTCGCACATCAACAATTCTAGAAAACTCCTGAAAAGGATAGCAAGACTATTTTCCATTTTTGAACCACCCTCATGTATTCTTTCACTTAATCTAAACTGAATACCAACATTTTTGGGACTCCTATTTATCCCAGTTCTCTTCTGAACCCCATCACCCCGATGACTTTATTTGTGATTTAAAATTGTATCCACCCTTCACAATGAGCTTAAGATAATTTTAGGGCCCTCTAACCTAGGTCTAGCATTTTTATTTGTTTCATTATTTAGCTTCATTCTTTTTAATAACTCTCTAGGTCTCCTTCCCTGCATCTCTACCAGATCCAGGCATCTGGTAACGACTCCAACCCCGGCTCTACCTTTATGATTGACCTTTATTTTTGTTTAGGTGACTAAACCACACCCAGCACATATTTGCCCACTTAGTCGCTCCCCAAGGGACCCTAAATGCACTCGTACCTTTTATAGTTCTTATCGAAACAATTAGGAATATTATTTGACCGGGCACATTGGCCATTCGGCTTGCAGCAAACATAATTGCAGGCCACCTCCTCCTTGCCTTGCTTGGGAGGGCAGGACTCTTTTTATTCCCTAAATTATTAATTTTTCTCATTTTAGCCTAAATTCTTCTCCTTATACTAAAGTCTGCTGTCGCAGCCATTCAATCCCATGTATTTGTGATTCTCAGAACTCTTCATGCCAGTGAAGTAAATTTATGTTATCACATAGACACCATGCCTTCCATTTAGTTGGCATAATACCTTAACCCTTGACCCAACCAATTAGAGCTATGCTTTAACATCAGACCCCATCAAATGATTTCATCAATTTAATCTAGACCCTGCCCCTCTTTTTTTAGATTTATTCCTACTTTTAACCACAATTCAATGATGGCGAGATGTAACTCGAGAGGGAGTGTATCAGAGGCTTCATACTCAAGCTATCATAAAAGGCCTCCGGTGAGAGATAATTTTATCTGTCGTCTCTGAGGCACTATTTTTCTTCTCATTTTTTCGGGTCTCTTTCATAGAAGTCTTGCACCTACAATTAATTGAAATTGGAAAATTTTGGCCACCTGAAGGGATTCAGCCTTTCAATCCTCCCTGAGTTCCCCTTATTAATACAGCTATTTTACTTTCGTCGAGAGCAACAGTAACTTGAGCACGCCATTATGAAGCTATACAAAGTCTAGGATTGACCCCCCCCCCCTTGGAGTTTACTTTACTCCTCTTCAAGCATACGAATATTTGGGAGCGTCTTTCTCTATCGCAAACTCAATCTACGGAGCTACCTTCTTCGTAGTAACTGGATCCCACAGTCTTCATGTAATTATTGAGACTTCATTTCTAACAGTCTGGTTTTATCGCCTCTTCAAGTGCCACTTCTCTAACAACCATCACTTTGAATTTAAAGCCGCAGCTTGGTGCTGACATTTCGTTGATGTAGTTTGATTGTCCCCCTATTAGTTTTATTTACTGATGAGAAAGATAATTTTTTAGTATTAATGGTACGTCTAGCTTCCAACTAGAAAGTCTAATTGTTTAGAAAAGTTAATTCTAACTATCAACCTGACCCCCTTCTCACTCTCAGGATCACGACTTTAATTATAACCTTGTCCTCAGTTCTATCGAAAAACTATTATAGACCGAGAAAATACCCTCCCCCCGTTTGAATGGGGGTTTAACTCTAAGGCTTCGGGTTTCCTCATTGCTGTGATATTCCTGATTTTGACGTAGAAACTACATTAATCCACCCCCACCCCTCCTCTAGCCCATATCTCTCCCTTACAGATATCTTCCCTTGAAGATTTACAGGGTTGTTTTCCCGACCCTCCCATAGGCCTCTACTATGAATGGTATAAAGGCGCCTTAGAGTGATCTAACTGGGAACGTAGCCAATAATGACATATGAATTGCACTCATAAAAGTATTTATAAACCTTTCTCAAATTAGAAAGCGAAAGATTGCGTTTAGTTTCGACCTAAATTTTGGT